ACCCCTTTAGCACAACTTAACCTGCCTCACCACCTCCCAACCGCCCCTTCAATCCCCCCATCTTTCCTCATCTCACCAACACATATCACCGGAACCATCCCATTCCTCACCACCCCCCTAACCTTCTCCCCAACCCTTCCCATCACTCTCCGCAAACAACCTCTTCCGTTCCGCATGCCCCAATTCCACAAACTCCACCCCAACCTCAGCCAAAACCGCAGGACTAACCTCCCCTGTATAAGCTCCAAAGTCCTCAGAGTAACAATCCTGCGCCCCTACTCTTATCCTTCTCGCCACCGACCCCTCAGGAGCAGATCGTATGATACTAATGACAGACGTGAGGGTGACAAAGTCGGGGATGATGAAGATGTCGACATCGTCATCACCCAGGGTTAGGGTATCCGTAGGGCTGGAAAGAAGCTCGACAACGGACCGGGTGAAGGCTTCCGTCCGGGAGGCGGAAAAATACATTTTGGTGGATACCCCGATCAGACGACGCCTTCTTCCTCGCTTGTTACTGCTATCAACCGGCGCCGTTGACGCCGCCGCCGTTGCTTCGGGGCCGGGAGAGGTGGGGTTGGCGGACATCACTGAGGACAACAAACACGACCGAACAAAAAAGGGGTGTCCGATTTCGGTAGTCTAAAAGATAAATGCTGTGTACACCAAAGTCTGGGTTACCGAGGAGATAACACTACATTTTAGTCAGTCCTCACCGTCACAAACAAACCGGATCATTCGCCCTGTCATGACGCAGTCCATTTCATTCATTCACACACGGGAAAAGTCCCCCCCCACCCATCAAAGCAAGCAGCACTGTCGATCCCCGCGGCTCGGGAACTTTTTAGCTTAGTCCCATCCACCTGGTGCCACTGTAAAAACCCGCTGTAGCTCGTCCCACCAACGATTTACCCGCCCCCAGACATAGCGGGGGTCCCCATCTTGATATCCAATCAACGGGGTAACAATAGCAGCACCACAACAACAGCATGCTCCAAAACTCGCTGGAACTGGAGCTCCAACTGCCTGATAGGGTTCGCTGAGCCGACAAGTTCTTCTTGGCCCCCCCAGAATGTGGATAACCCGAACAATCAACAAAGTGGAAAAACGCAGGCAAAATGGAGCAAACTCGAAGCTTGTATTCCTCGCTGGATCCCACCACCCCAAGAAGATCTGTTCTGGACCAAAGTGGCGCCTTCAACACCAAACATCCTCGGATTACCCTTTTGGGAGCGCCACACTCACATGTATCCTGTCTCGTCTCTTGGAATCCAACTCGCTATTCCCGCCCTCATCAGCAACCCTTCACTTCCTCCGCCGCCCCAGAAAGACCATGTTCCCCTTCTTCGTATTCATGAATGGCAGCCACCTTGGCAGCACTGGCGCTCTTCTCGTCAAAGACATATCCCAACCACTCCTTTGCGAGCCTCCTCGCAAGCTCCAGTCCCACCACCCGCTCCCCCATGCACAACACCTGGGCATTGTTGCTGAGGACCGCTCTCTCGACCGAGAAGCTGTCGTGTGCGGTGACTGCCCTGATCCCCTTGATCTTATTGGCGGCAATGGCAACGCCGAGGCCAGTGCCGCAGATCAACAGAGCTCGGTCGACCTCTCCCGAGGCCACGAGTTTGGCCGCCGCCGCGGCGATGTGTGGGTATGCCGTCTTGTCCTCCTTGCCCGTGGCACCGACGTCGACGACTGAGATGACCCGGGGATCGGCCGCGAAGTCTTCTTTGATTTTGTTCTTGTAGCTCACGCCGGCGTCCTGTTTGTAAATCAAATCATTAGCCCGTGATATCAAATCTGTCCCAGGATTATACTCACATCGCAGCCAACGGCAATCTTCCACTGTGGTGAGCTCATGTTGAATGTGATGATGTTGCGATGTCGTTGACGAACTTCCAGACCAGCGGCTCCTTGCTGCTCGCCAAAGTAGTAATGTAATGTAGTCCCATAAAAACAACTTGACACTGCCTTCCCACTAGGGAACTCGGCAATCGCTATTTATCCAAGCCGCCTTTCCGTTCCGGGTATTCCGCCTGCGTCCTGGAAGCACCAGACTACCACCCGGTTCCAGGAGGCTGCATGGGGGGGAGGGGGAAGCCACTGCACGCTGCCCCTCTCCCCGTACGCCCCTAAACGCCCCGCATACCGGCAAGTGGCCCATCATGAGGCGATCATCGAGGGGGACATGTGTTACTCGCTCGGCAAGGTTCAAAGGGGGAGGGAGGGGGTGAATTATCCCGGTGGTGATTTCCATATCCGATCAGATGTGCAGGTTCTGGCTTCTGGACCGCATGCCGCGTCAGGCCTCCCCGGTGGTGTGTCCGGGAGTTGACTTGAAATATTGTGTCACTGGCTGTTGTTCGCTGCTCGACTTGGACTCACTCCCACTCCAACGTGAACTTTCACAAACCACATTCTGACAGCCAACATGTCCAAACGACACCTCTTTTCCTCACTCGAGGGGCTTGTCCCCAAGGCCCTTCGAGGCATTGTTGCCAGCAACCCAAGACTCAACCTCGACGAGACCAACCGCGTAGTCTTCGACCCCGAATCCCCCAAGTCGATCGTCAGTATCATCAGCGGTGGCGGCTCCGGTCACGAGCCAGCATGGTCTGGCTATGTTGGCACCAACATGCTGGCCGCCGCCGTAGGCGGTGATGTCTTCGCCTCTCCAAGCACTAAACAGATCCTGGCTGCTGTCGAGGCCGTACCATCAGACAAGGGGACACTCCTGGTGATCACCAACTACACCGGGGACTGCCTTCACTTCGGCCTGGCAGCCGAGAAGACAAAGGCAAAGGGGAACCCGTGTCGTATGCTCATCTGCGGCGACGATGTCTCGATTGGAAAGCAGGGCTCACTAGTTGGTCGTCGAGGACTGGCTGCTCAAATAGGAGTGCTCAAGGTTCTCGGTGCTGCAGCTGCAGAGGGTCTCTCGCTGGGCGAGCTATTCGACCTCGGCACTGCCGTCAACGGCCAAATCGTCAGCATTGCCGCCACATTGGACCACTGCCATGTCCCCGGTCGAACAGAGCACGGTGCCCTTGACCCCGATGTGGTGGAGATTGGTACAGGACCACACAACGAACCCGGCTACAAGAAGCTCTCACCAGCTCCTTCAGCGGAAGGATTGGTGAAGGAGATGCTCAGATACTGCCTGGACGAGACCGATCCTGTGAGAGGATACGTCAAGTTCAACCCCGGAGACGAGACGGTGCTGTTGGTCAGCAACTTCGGCGGCATGTCAAACCTGGAGATGGGAGGTCTTGTCGATGAGCTCCTTCAACAGCTCCTGGCCGACTGGAACATCGAGCCCGCGCGTGTGTACGCTGGCTCCATCGAGACATCGCTCAACGCGCCCGCCTTCTCCGTTTCAGTCATCAACCTTTCAGGGGTAGCAGCGACCAGCCCCTATTCGCTCGACCAGATCAAAGGATTCTTCGACCTTAAGACCGATACAGCATGGGAAGCTGTTGCTGGATCCCAGAGATACCGTCGTCCAAGAGCCGATCAGCTTGTTCAACCGCCAGTCGAAGAGCGTAAGGTCATTGATGAAGCGAGAGATATCAAGATTGACCCCGTGCTCCTGGAGAGAATGCTCCGCCGGGCCTGCAATGACCTCATCAAATCCGAACCAGACCTCACACGGTGGGACACCATCATGGGAGACGGCGACTGTGGTTTGACACTCGAAACTGGTGCCAAGGCGTTGTTGGAGGCCATTGATGGGCCACACAAGATTGCTGCCAAGGGATCGGTAATCGAAGTTCTCACTGAGCTCGAGGAGATTCTTGAGGGCAAGATGGGAGGAACACTTGGTGGTATCCTGGGCATTTTCTTCGTGTCAATGAGAACCGCGCTGCAGGAGAACCTTGAATTAGCCAAGACAGAAGGTTTGGTATCGTTATGGTCAAAGGCCCTTTCACATGCCATCCATCATCTCGAGCAGTACACACCAGCCAAGGTTGGCGACCGAACTGTCATGGACACATTGATTCCGTTTGTCGAAGCTATGGCGGCGACCAAGAGTTTGGAGGAGGGTGTCGCTGCTGCGGTAGCGGGATCAGAGAACACCAAGAAGTTGAAGGCGAGATTGGGGAGAGCGACGTATGTTGGTACTGGGACAGACGGCAAGGAGCTGCCACCAGATCCGGGTGCTTGGGGCGCGATGGTGGTGATTCAGGGACTGCTTGCTGCAATTTCAGAATAGGAAGCGATTGGGGATGAAGGGTTTGAATTTTCTCGTGGTTGGATTGATCAGATTTAGAGATCAGTAATTCGGAATAAATTTGGTTGTACTTTACTGTGAATTCATGGATTGTGTGTGGCTTGTATGTCCTGAGACTTGGGCGCTCCTTCCTACTTCCTCCTCCAGGCACCCACACTCAACAAAGGGCTCTCTTCATTTGATCACCGAATCAACTGGAATCCGCGATGATGCCAACGTCTTGATTACGTTTCCAGGATCCATGGGATCCAAATGAACTCCTGTGAGCTATTGAGCTTTTCAAAACCATACCCCGCATATAAACCGTCAAATAGCGAGGTGGTAGATAAAGGAGAAAGGATATCAATGCAGAAATACACATGATAATCGAATTCAACTATTCTAGGCAGGTCTAAGAGAATCCTCAAGCCTTCCCAGCACTCCCCAACCAATGCATATACCTCTCAATCGCCACCTGCATCGCCTCCGTCCCCTTCTCAATCACACTCGTCAACGGCTTCCCCCTCATCTTCTCCTGCGTCCACGCATAGTGATTATTCATCCCCTTGTTGATATTCACCTTCGTCACCCCCCCCGCCATGCACTTTCTAAAAATCTCCTCATCGAACGGATCAGCCCCATGCAGCACCAACCTGACCCTATCCCCGACCTTCTTGTTGATAGCATCAAGCCGGTCATACTCCAGCTGGATCCCCCTCGGTCCATACTCCCCATGCACATTCCCAAACGCCGGCGCCAACATGTCAATCCCGGTGGCAACAAACTCCTCCGCTTCCTCGGGGGTAGTAAGCAGTCCCTCGAGGTCAGCAGTCTCAGCTACGCCGTCCTCGCCACCTTCGATACGCCCTGGCTCTGCCTCTGCGGCGATACCGCGCTCGTGGCAGTATTGAACCAGTTCGGCGGTGAGCTTGAGATTCTCCTCCTTTTCGTAGTGCGACATGTCGCACATGATGCTGTCAAAGGCGTCCGGGATGTCGGCTGCCCTGCGGACCAGCTCGGGTGTCTGGCAGTGGTCCAGGTGGAGGGAGACTGGGACCGAGGCCGAGTGAGCTGCCTCAGCGGCGGCTTTGACGAGAGCGTCACCGGCATATTGAATCGCCCACGGGAAGAGCAAGACCATAGCTGGGGAGCGGGCGGCTTCGGCAGCTCTGACGGTGGCGATGATGGATTCGATGTTGTAGCAGCACATGGCTGGGACGGCGTACCCCCCAGCGAGGGCCTTGTTGAGAATGCTCATGGAGCGGTTCTCTGAAAGGGGGGGTCTAGGAGCCATGGTGGGTGGTGGTGGGTTGACTGAGCTGTCAACGAATAGTGATAGTGGTGATGGTGTTGAGTGAGTGACACAGTAAGTCTTGCCAAGACTGAGTGTGAGATGCTGTAAGTTCTCGACTTAATACCCCCCCTGGAAAGGCACTGGCTGAAAGCAGACTCACTCCTTTGCTCATCAATTCATCCTACGGGATATCATCGGCACCTCTTTCTCTGTCGTGCCCAGATAACCCGAGAGATTTGCCGCCCCCTCGGGTTCCTCAATACAGGAAGGTCGATGATTGACCTGCCAAGGCCGGCTGACGGGACCCGCGGTGATGCGCCGGTGCATGTAAGAATATTAGCCAAAATGCGGCAGTCCGCCTGCGGGGACAGGGAGTCACGTCATAATTAGTTCTGGAGGATTGAGGGGGTGAAATTGATGTTCAGAGTTGAGATGCAAAAGTTTACAAAGCGGGGAAGCTCGTTGGGACTGTGGGCTAAGAAGCGTGGGTCAGTGACCAACTCCCGCGGGGGACTTTGCGTGGGACTTGGACTTCATCCGGACGGGTCTCGGCATAGCCCAGCGTGAGATGATATCCCAAGGGGCGACAAAATGATCAAAAAAAAAACATGTGTTTACGGGCAGGCCGGCTGGATTGCATGGCCGAGTGTCGGAGTTTCTGCTGTCGTGGTTTGCACTCAGCATCTTGACCACCCCCCTACTCATTGTTTCTCACTGATATTGCATGCAAAGTCTTGGCCGAGTTAGCAGTCACCAACACCAGTTAACCCCCCGAGTCCCTCAATTGTTGCACTTTGAACCAAACATCACCACCATGGCCGACCAGAAACCACCTGTTGCCTTCATCGGGCTCGGAGCCATGGGCTTCGGCATGGCCACCCACCTCATCAAGCAAGGCTACCCAGTTACCGGATTTGATGTCTGGGCCCCAACTCTCAAACGGTTCGAGGAAGCAGGCGGCTCAACCGCCACAACACCAGCAGAAGCCGTCCTCAACAAGGAGCATGTCGTCGTAATGGTGGCCACCGCCCAGCAAGCCCAGACTGTTCTGCTGGATGGCCCCAATGCTGCCGTCCCGAAGCTTCCCCAAGGAGCCGTGGTCCTTCTCTGCTCCACCGTCCCCTGTGACTACGTCCAGGCTCTCCAAGTCCAGCTCAACAGCATCGGCCGCAGTGACATCTTGCTGATCGACAGCCCAGTCTCCGGCGGAGCCGCCAGAGCAGCAGATGGCACTCTTTCCATCATGGCAGGCATGTCTGCTGCTGCGTTGGAGAAAGGACGCCCGTTGCTCGCTGAGCTGTCAGATCCAGCAAAACTGTACATTGTCGAGGGTGGCATCGGTGCTGGCAGCAACATGAAGATGGTTCACCAAGTTCTCGCGGCAAACCAAATCCTGGGAGCAAGTGAGGTGATGGGTTTCGCTGAGAGACTAGGCCTAGATCTGGCCAAGGCTCAAAAAGCAGTGCTGGAGTCTGATGCTTGGAATTTCATGTTCGAGCACCGAACACCCAGAATATTCACCGAGTTCCAGCCTGTTGCCAGTGCGGTTCAGATTATCGTCAAGGATACCAGCATCATCACCTCAGAAGGGCGAAGAAGTTCTTTTGCCACGCCGATGACAAGCGCAGCGGAGCAGATCTACTTCACTGCTGTTGGGAGAGGGTGGGCGATGGACGACGATAGCAGTCTCGTGAGACTCTATACCGAAGGAAACGGAAAGGTTGGGCCAGTTTATGGCACTGCTGAGTCAGAGGAGGATAAGACGGCTTTGGTGTTGGCTTTGATGAGAGGTATCCTGCTTTGTGCTGCTGCAGAGTCTCTTGCTTTTGCGCACACTGTGAGTCTGGATTTGGATCAGGTCTTGGATCTTTGTGTCAACGCTGCTGGTGGTAGCAAAGTGCTGGAGAAGCTTGGGCCTGCCATTATCAAGGAGCTCGGGGGTGCCGGCGATGCTTCAAGTGGCGAGTCGAGCCTTGAGGATGTCTTTAGCGGACTGAGTGCGGCGGTCGAGGAGGCACAGAGGATAAAGACTCCGTTGTATCTTGGGACCCAGGCGTTGAGTATTCTCCAACGTGTGACACAATCCAAAGGGACAGGCTCTGCTGGTGTTGTCGTCAAGGCGTGGGTTTGAGATATTGATAGAGGTAGATAGGTATCTTTTAATGTTTGTCCTTGTTTTTGGGTATGCGTCTAGGGTGTCGTTTGCAGATAGAGATTAAAAATGTCACCGAATTTGCTGGATACTATTCCGCCAGAAGGCTACTCACCCCACCAACAAAACAAACCCGCCTGCCCCACTTTATACTGCTCAATTCCAATCCCTGCTCCTAGTCGCGTCTTCTCATCGCAACACGCGTCTCATGATCAAATATCACCCAGAGCATCATCAACCCCAGTCGAACAACCTCACCAACTACCCAAAATGGAGGAGGCAATGAAACAGCACTTTTTCCACCACGGAAAACCAGACGTAAGCTCACGTTATCCCCTCAATCTCTCACATCATGTCCCTCTCATTGACCACTTCCCCAGACCGACCCCTCAGAAGCCGAAAAATGCCACTGGTGCCAGATTCGTAGTTTCAAAACCCACAAGAAACTTCCCATCACCATCGTCAACGAAGCCAAAGGAGACGAACGCAAGGAAGTCCTAAATCCAGACTTCAAATTCATCGACCACTCAATCCCAAGCGACGACGTCCCCATCGCCGGGGCCTCCTTCCGCACCGGCTGCAATTGCGCAGACGACGAGCAGTGCATGTACTCAACATGCGAATGCCTCGACGAAATGGCCCCCGACTCCGACGAGGACATGTCCGACGCCCCCCCAGCTCGTGGCCGCAGGATACAAAAGTTCCAGTACTACCACTCCGGCACCAAAGCCGGCTTGCTCAAGTCTAGAATCCTCGACAGCCGTGAGCCAATCTACGAGTGTCACGATGGCTGCAGTTGCAGTAAAAACTGTCCGAACCGGGTGGTGGAACGAGGCAGGACGGTGCCGTTGCAGATCTTCCGGACAAAGAATAGAGGATGGGGGGTCAAGTGTCCGGTGGATATCAAGAAGGGGCAGTTTGTGGATAAGTACTTGGGGGAGATCATCACCAGCGAGGAGGCCAACCGCCGGCGAGCTGAGTCGACCGTCTCGGATAAGAAGGACGTTTATTTGTTTGCTTTGGACAAATTTTCTGACCCGGATTCACCTGACCCGTTGTTGAGGGCGCCGCCGTTCGAGGTGGATGGGGAGTGGATGAGTGGGCCGACGAGGTTTATCAACCACAGTTGCGACCCAAATATGCGGATTTTTGCTAGGGTGGGGGATGCGGTGGATAAGCATGTTCACGATTTGGCGCTGTTTGCCATCAGAGATATACCGGCGGGAGAGGAGTTGACGTTTGACTATGTGGATGGCGGGTTGGCGGAGGAGGACGCCGGGGGATTGGTACCGGATGACAAGAAGAAGGATATGACGAAGTGTTTGTGTGGGACGAAGAAGTGTAGGGGGTTCTTATGGTGAGTGGATGAACAAGAGAAACAAACGAACAAAACTGCTGGCTTGACAGGGCAATGATGCCGAAGCCTTCATATCATGATACGGAGTGGTGTACCTAATGACCAGCGTGCTGCTGGGGCTGCATGTGGCTGCTTGCTTGAGAATGCGGGGTGCTCCCCTGAAAAGATCGATCTCGTGGGGCCGCCGTCTCGTCCCGTCATGGATCATGGATGGTAGTGACACAAATCGGATTCCATCAAAGTTTGGATGTCCTGATTACGTATCATGAGTGCTCTGGACCGCATGGCAAGATTAGTAGCCTTGAGGCAATAGTGAACTGATAAGAGCATTGTAGAACCTATCACAATCTGTTGTCCTCGTCACCTTAAAACCTGGTTGATGTGATGCTCTGAGCAATGCTTGTGGAATTGGTTGTCCAATCAGGACCTAGCTTCCGATGAACAGCGATTTGCTGTTGATGTTCCGGATCCGTGCGCGTGCAGCTGTTCCAAAGTCGTCATGGCCTCGTGTCGACGGAAACACTGTTTTGGACACGAATGCAAGACATGAGTCTATCTGGGGCATTGCTGCTTTCCGGAGCGTTGGAGTCTTGTTGTTGTGAGGTCTGAAATGGTGGAATATTCCGTGTCTTGTCATCGGCTGACAGGGAAAGGCGGTGCTCCGAGTCTGGGCTCGCCGCTAAGGTTCTAGCCCCGCAAAGCTAGGTCCACTGCGTGCAACCGAGTGGACCGTGCATCAGGCCGGAGATCGCTGATCTCAGTGGGGCCTTCCAGTTGGCTGGCAGTGACTGACTGGTGTGAGCTCACCACGATAACACACACACACACACACACACATCTGGGACCTTTCTTGACCGCATTAGGTCTTCATGCTCCCCATACTGTTGTTGTACATCGACTGGCTGCCCAGGACCTTGGCTTATGCTCCATGAGGAGGCTGGCAGTTGAGCATCTGTGATCCTACTTCTCTCCACCTCCCACCTCGGGGTCTACCTAGCCTTTCTCTTTTGCCTCAGCGATACCACGAGCCAATGTCGGCAGCCCATCGCATCGCAACAGCACACACTCATTTCTTCAGCCTTCTCTCTGCTTATTTTCTTAGCAAAGAGCTGACTCTTCGTTTCGGACGCCCACTTTCGCTTTTCCCTCCTCGTCGTCATGAACTAGATATTCAAGCGGCTGGATCGAGCGGCCCACGAGTTGCGAAATCGAGTGCAGCGGAAACCCCCGCGCCGCCAGCAGCAGCAATCAGATACAATGGTATGTGTTGGAGGAAGTTTGTGCTACTGACTTGCCCGTTTAATCCCCTTGTCTCATCAATTGTCCGAGCCGTGTTTGTTCTCTTTATTGCAACTGCAACTGCCAGACGGCCACCTGCTTGCTTTCACATGCCTGCTGATGTTGACCATACAACTAATGCGCAATAGGGTTGCTGTCTTTCCCGAGAGGGCGAATCGGGCTCGCCCTACACAACTGGCGGCGGCGCATCTAGTTCCGCGCGAGCAATCAATGAACAGCCCCAAACAACCCGAGCTCACGTCCACGGTGGACATGATGGGCACGCCTCTGGATCGCGCCGGCGGCATAGACACAGTCAGCAGCCTCTCGACCAACATATCAACAAGCCTTTACGACTGCACGAGTGGACCAGCTACAATCGGACGTGGACCTCCAGGGAGCTGCGACAGGAGAGGATAGAGTTCTTCGATACTCGGGTGACTGGGCGACAGGAAATCTGGCAAACGCTACACGCTGTGCTGGAGGTTTTGTGGACATCCGCAGAGGCTGTGCGCAATGGGCAGGTTGGGAGGAGAAGTGAAGATGATGGGCCTAGCGAAGAGGACCCGGCGATAGCACTGGCGACAGCCCAGAGCATTCTCGATGCTGCCGACATCACACTGCCGACAGGAGACTTGTACAATGGGGCCTACGATGCGTTTGGAAACTACTACCAACTACCACATCACATCGTGACGGATCCGACGAATTTGGAATGGCGGCCAGGCTGGGAACATGAGGATTTGGATGACACCAAGGCAGACTTGACTGCCGGGGAGGAGACCACCGAGGAACGGGACGACATCGAAGACGAGGCCGAGAGGAGGCGTGAGGAAAAGGGCAAGGGGGTGGTTGATGTTAAGGATCTCATCGCCATCAGAGCCAGGCTCAGTGATGGATCGAAAGATGTCAACGTCTCAGTTGGCAAGGGAGACTCTGTCAGAAGTCTGGCTAGACAGATCGCAGAGGATGCAAATGTGAGCCAACATCTTTTACCACGGATTTAACCCACCAGACTCCCGCATACTAACAACAAACAGCTACCTCCCAGCAAGAAGATTCGCATCGCCTACATGGGCAGGGTTCTGAAGGAGAGTACGCCTCTGCTCGAGCAGGGCTACAAGCAGGGTCATGTTGTCAATGCTTTAGTGTTCAACCGGTAGGACCGCTGTTCACCGGCGGACGACCAGACACCCCATCATTTGTTTTCCTCAGGCTCAGAGGTCACCTTACCTGTTCCGTTTACCGCTAATAGTCGGTACACTGAACCACCGCCGATCTCTGATTCGTCGCTCCGTCCAAACTGGAATAATCGGAGACGCACACGCACATCTTCGGCCATTCATGCTTTGCGTGACCGCCTTCAGCGGTTCCAGGAGCGCCGCCAGGAACGTCTTGCCCGTTTGACCGAGGATATTCTGGATGACAGCCGGGCACCTCTGCTGTATACTGACGCGTCTGCATCTGGTAGAGTCGAGGTGTGGAATCCGTATGCTGGGCTGCTTCCTTATCACGTTGTGCTCTGCCCGACGTGATTTTGATGGGGAAACAAACCATTGGCGCCGACATTTCAGCTTGTTTCAAGTCGCTGTAACATTAACGCTCCCATTTTCACCCTAATTCCGACGACCACACGCAAACCGACACTCGATCACAGAACGTTTCAGCCCGCACCCAACGCACCATTACAGCACCATTGACCGCCACACCACTTGCCGTCTTGTCACTAGTCTTATACCCCCCGAAGTTGAAGAGTAGCAGCATGAAACAGGGTGGAAAGCGCGTCAAAGTTTAAGTTTTTTTTTCTTTTTTTTTCCAGGAAAGGGGAGGTAGGAAGTGGGCAGTGGGGGAGGTAGCAAAGCGCAGGTTCTCTTAATTATTTCCATACCAGGAGCCTCGTTTTTCTTTCATTCTTCTCTTGTTGACTGAGTGTATGAAGGTGGGAAAGTTTGGCTTCATGTTTTCATGGGACTACCTACTCAACCCAGTCACTGTTTGTTTGATTCATTCTCGAAACGGCGTTTCGCATGGGGCGGGTAGGGTGCATCAGGGTTCGGGTCGGGTCGGGTCGGGGGGGATGGAAAGATAGTTTTTATTTATCTAGCGGAATACCCAAGTATGATATTGTTTTTTTTTTTTGTTTTTTTGTTTTCTTTCCTCAAATGGCTCCCTACCTTGCCCTACGGGGGTGTTTTATCGTGATGATAAGCCAAAGTGAAATGGAATGATAACAGAGTGAAAAGGTTTGATAGAGTCACAAGATGATCTCACATCTTCATATCACCACATCAGAAAACCCAACAAGATAAAAACCACACCCTCTCTATTTTCCCCAACCCCTATCCCGTCCGACTGACTGACTGATTGCTAACCCCTACCTAGACAAACAAACCCAACAAAGTACCTTTTTGCAAAGCGCTTCAACAAGCTGAACAAACAAACAAACAAACAAGCAAACTGTTCATTACAGCCTTTTATCTCTCACTTCAAAAAATCCCCATTCCTGCTCTAATACTATCATTTCCACCCTTACGCAGCACTCCCAATCTTATTCAACCCCTTCAAACTCCCCAAACTCAACGCCAGCCCCTGCGACCTACTTCGTATCCTCAAAAATCCCGTAATCGGCCCATCCTCACCCTCCTTCTCAATGCTCAAGTTGGCCAGGGCATCCTCACCTAATTTCCCCCATCGTCAGCATCATCATCTCACCCATGATCAAGAAACAAAAACTTACCAAACACACTCCTAGCATACAAATTCGCGCTCAAAAACTGGCAATCCCCCTTCAAGCTCGCCTCGGGCGTCAGGCAGTTCATATTCGTGCACGCCATCAGCTGGTCCAAAAAGTCCCTCAGCGTCTTGGCCTTGCTGTTGATGTTGACCTTGTTCTCCCACTCAAACTCGGTCCACATGGTCCTGAACTGCGTCTCGCTGCACGTGGCAGGCTGGATGTAGTCCATAATGTCAACGTGCAGGTCATTCAGAATAACGACGTTCGTGTCGGTGGAGTGGGCGCCCTCGTAGACAACATTGCCGAAAATGACACCCGTGTCGGTGGACGAGACCTTGATGGTGCACTGCACGTTGTGGAAGTCGTGGGGGCCGAGGGACTGGCTTGTTGGTCTCTCAACCACCTTGAGGTCACCGAGAGTGGCAAACTCAACCGAGAGGTTCTGGAGCGTGTCGGTTGTCTGGTTGACGAGGAGGACGTCAAGAATGATGTCGAATTGGTGCACCTTGACATAGGCTTCCGCGTAGACAGGGTCGGAAAAACCGGTGAGCTGAACCACACGGCTGAGCTTCCCCGACAAATCCTCGCCCGCACCGCTGTCACCGCCAGCGGCGCGCTCAAGGTCAAGCTCAACTGTGTCCTCGCCACCGCCGGTGTTCTTCTTGGAGAGCTGACGGATAGAAACCACATCGTCAACCTGAATGGCCGACTTGGCCTTCTCGTGAGCAGCCTTGGCCTCGCGCTTCTTCTCCTCGACTTGGACCATGGCGCGGAAGGCCTTGCGGGTGTCCTCGAGGTAGACAGTTTCGAGCTCCTTGTGCTGCTTGAACTCGGCAAGCGAGCGCACACAGCTCATGATGCGGTCAACCGAGTCCTCATCAATGGGAGCCTTGACGAATTGGGATTGACCAACACGGATGACGGAAATCATGATAAGCATAGCCTCTGCCTTGAGGGCATTGGTGCGAGACTCGGCCGAGCCAACTTCCGAGTAGCGCATGACCAACTTTGTGAGAGTCGAGGCAAGGACGCTGGCGAGATAGTAATCGCCATCGAGAATGAGCTGGCGAAGAGGTGGTTTTTGAGAGGCCTTGACAGCTTCGAGCTTGGCAGCAGCGGCAGACTGGCTGGTAAGGGCAGTCTCAGTCGCATATGTGCCATCAGCGTTAACCTTGCGCGAAGTGGCGGCCGGCTTGGGGTGTCCATTGGTCTGCTCCTGTTCCTTGTTCTCCTCCTCGCTGTGCATGTTATCCAGCAACCGTTGCTCGGAAGCCAAGATGGGGATTTCACCCAAGCTAGCCCTGATGCCTTTCCAGGCATCACGGATATCCTTCTCCTCAAGAGAGTACTCGCCAATGATCCACAGAATGCCCCGGTATACCTTGCCGGCACGGACCTCCTTCAGGGTGTCGACTAGCCTGGACACAATGGTTGGGCGCAGCGCTGGGAATTTCTCCACGACCTCCTTGACAAAGTTGATGACATCGACGGCGGAGGCATTGTTGAAGTCGGCAATAAACTCCATCAAAAGCTCCACAACGCTGGCGGCCACCTCGGAGAACTTGACGGCGCACTGGTGAATAGAGTGGATAAGCAGTTGGCGATACTCGCTGTTCTTCTCGTATTCTTGGTCGACAGTCTTGGACAGCTCCTTCTTGAGGAGCAGGACAACCTCCTCAACATTCTTGCTGGAAACCATCTCCAGCGCAATCTCGAGGGCCTTCTTGCGCACATCAATATCCGGGCTGGAAAGAACGCGCAAAATCTCCATGATCAAGTCGTCCAAGATGCCCTCGTTTCTTTGGCGGAGCTGGTCGACGCGATCCAGCACGATAAGCTTAACATTGTTGTCGGCCTCCTTGATGGCAAGCTCAATGAACTTGCTGGCGGCAGCCTTGACGGCCACAGGGTTGTTGGTAAGGGCCGTCAACGAAGAAGCAGCTTCGTAGACGACGGTGGATGTGTTGGACTCCAGCAGGTCAAAGATCAGGTGCAGATATTTGGTCTTGTTCTGAGAGTTCTGGATGGCGTCCTTCCTGATGAACTCGAGCTCAACCAACTGCAGGAGCTCCTCTGCGTTCGGGATGCCATCAAAGACAGAGCTAAGGTACGCCAGCGCCTTGCCGTGGTCGATGCTGGCAAGCGCAGCAAAACCGTTCCTCTTGCATGTGGGATCGCTCTCGCCTTCCAGGAATGTGGCAATGAGGTCTGCGGCATCGGGGATCAGGGAGGGCGAGTGTTGGAAGATGGATGCGACGGCAAAGACGGCGTTCTTTCGTACGTAGGCATGGCGATGTTCGAGGCATGATCGGGCTGAGGAGAGGAGGGGCTCGAGAAGCTCTGGTTCGCGAAGTTTGCAGAGGAAACGTAATGTGTTACCGCGGATGTACTCGTTCGGGTGTTGCAAGTCGTTCCGGATACCGTTGCATACTAGAATGTACTCCTGCTTCAGCTTGCCTTGGGCGTCAAGCTTCGGGCAGATCTCGTAGTAGAAATAGAGGAGCTTCTTTAGAGGCTTCGACTTGGACGGCATGACGAATCGGATGATGTGCATGAGCAATTGCGGCATAGGATCGCCATTGAGCATGATGGTCAAGATGCGCCTCATGGTATCGAGCTTGGACTCATCGGTGCCCTTCTCGAGCTGTGTCTTGAGCTCCTGCAATGTCGGTGTGCCATCGATGGAATTGTCCTTCACTAACGTGTACGCATTTTCGAGAAAGGACATGATGGGCGAACGGGGGCGGCAACGTGCCGTGGAAAACTCGGGAGAGTGTTGGATAGGTGGTTGTGTTTGCGAGTTAGGGTGGAATTATTGGTGTTGACCCCGTATGGGTAGTAATTATTGCTGAGGGGTGGAAAAGATAGGGGAGTTGTTTCGTGTCTCCTGAGCTCCTGCAGAATAACAGCCCAGTAACAAACAAGTTGTTTGCCTAATACCGGCCTGTGCAAGTAGCCCCTGACGCCAAATGCTCGCTCGTAAAGAATTCGTTTGGTGGTTCAGAATGGACCTGCAGAGGCGAGGTGTCGTCGTGTAGGTGGCCGCTGGGGGTGAAATCGGGCAGCGGAGCTTCACCTTTCTCTGGGCGAATGTGGTCACAGTGGTGAGAGTCGGTCAATATCAACGGCGGTGCCTGTCTTGGGAGATGTGGCATTTGGGGGACTGGGTAGCTGGCCTATCGTAGCTCTCAGCCAGCTGGCGCCAAGCGGCAGCCGGGCAGGGAGTTGCTCAATCACGTGAAGCTGCAACAAGCATTTGGTGGGGTCCCCAATGATGCCCCGCCGGTGCTCTTGTGCAAGTCGCGGCTTCGACGGCCACCAGGGTTCCCAATTAAAGATTCCCGCGTTGTCGCTGTCGTCAACTGAATCGTTGGAAAGCAAGTCAACACCCACCACCCAACATGTCTTCCACAAACGAGCCATTCTATATTCGCTACTAGTACGGCAAACAGCATTTATTCAACATTTGGTCCTTTTGCTAACCTGGACATAGCTCTGGCCATCAAGGTCGTTTCGGGCACGAATTCTTGGGTACGTCTTGTCGCAATGATGATTTTCCGAACAGGGAAGACTGATATTTTCTATTTCCCAGAATTCGATTTCCGCGTGGTCGGAGATGGTCGCAGTGCCACAGCCCGCTATGCAAACAACTCGAACTACAGGAATGATAGCCTCATTCGCAAAGAAAGTACGGCGCATCCCATGACCTAAACCGCAACCCTGGGACGGACCGACTGACGAGATTGGGACGATAGTGTTTGTGAGCTCACTAGTTGTCGATGAGATCAAGCGCATTGTCAAGTCGAGCGAAATTATGAAGTACGCAAACCAAGGCTGGAAGCATTGCATAAACCAGAGGCTGACAGTTACCTAGGGAAGATGACGGAAAGTGGCCTACCAAGAACAAGGACGGAAGGCAAGAGCTGGAGATTCGGCTTGGAAACGATCACATTTCCTTCGAGGTATGAAGTACCCCATTGGCAGTTTTGATGCCCAGCTAACGGTCCCCCAGACCGCCAAAATTGGCTCGATCAACGACGTAACGGATTCTGCCGACCCAGAAGGCTTGCGAGTATTTTACTACCTCGTGCAAGATCTCAAGGCCCTCGTCTTCAGTCTCATCGCCCTTCACTTCAAGATTAAACCAATCTGATTTATTTACCGCCTGGTATTCGATGAACCTGGGGACGGAGATGGGACACGATGGCCAATTCGAGAGTTGTGCCTCTTGACGGGAAAACAGGGCAGCCCACAGGGTTGACTACCCTACCAAGCCTGGAATATGGATTTGAGAAAAATGGGTTACGGAGATATAAGGTTGTCTTGCATCATCAAAAGTAGAGATGTCTGGGAGCTGTCAATGAGGCCGGAGTTGGGTGCGAGCCAATCATGAATTCTTACCGGATGGAAGCTGGAGCTGGGAGATACCCCAATGAATAATAGAACGCTTACGACTGGCTGTTTGTCCCTTATAGATATCCAGCTCAGCAGCTAATGCTGAAGGCGAATGAAAGAAACCCAATCATTCGTGAACAGCTGTGGTGAAATGCGGGTGTGAGCTCAGTCACCGCCACATTCGGTGGTGTCGACGTCCAGATTCGGATGCTGGCAGACCCTGTACAGACAGGTCTGTCAGACCTACAGATGTCAATAGGATGCACGATCTAGGGTCCGGGTGGGGAGAGGATGTGTCACAGCCATCTATGTCTTGGATACTTTGCCAACATCGTCTATAAAAGTAGACATACTGGAGCTGGTTGCTCAGTGGCGGGTAGTTTTGAAGGTCTCAGAAGACAATGACAATGGAACTGGGTTTGCCCTTTGACAAGTAAAAACCGGGGCCACCCTGCCAAGCCAGCCTCCCGCGACGCTCTGCAAGTGAGGTGTGGACAATTCCCTTGAAGACGTCTGTCTAACGTCTAACCACCGGGAATTCCATCCGTTCCCTACCTACCTTTCCCAAGGTACCTGTTCCTAGGTCTATCAAGCCCTTGCCTCTCCCATCAGCATCCATCAGTGTTCTCGAATACTGTTCCCGAACTCTTCCTATCTAGCCCCTCCAAATTCTCAAGGTCTCAACCACAGCGCCCACTCCTTGGCTTGACCCCACGGAATCACAGCACCGCGCGCCCGTGCCCTTCCCCGCGAAAGCAGCTCCGTGGCACTGAATTGAAGCTCCACCACTCCGCGATCCGCCCACGAGACCATCGGCAACTGTCATCCGTCGCCGCTTCAACCCGTTCGTTCACGCCCAACGACCACGGACGGCCCCCGGCCGTTTTGTTCATCGCGCCCGTCGCCGCGACAATCGCAAACTCTCTCTGGCAGTGTGCCAACACACAGCGCCGCTGGCTGGTGCATCCAGCAAATCCAGAATCTAGATTCTTGGCCTGCCTTTGCCCTGTTGGGCTAGTGCCTAGCCAAGGGTCCCTTTCCCTCCCAAGCTCGCGCGCCTATCTCCACAACCATAGTGTTCCCCCCGGTTGCGCATCGGCCATCAATACAACATCTCAACCTCCCCGTCGCCGATACCGTTCCTCTGTCTTTTAAACTCACGTAGCTGACAAGAACATGCCCACGCCCTCGTCGAGCGCGCCCGAACCCCAGTCGCCTCGTTCTTTCTCCTTCTCATCATGTCCTGATCCTGAGGAGCTGCTGTCTAACATGCCGTCCACATCCCACTCCCAACTGCCCCCAGCTCTGTCTCCGCAGTCGCCCGAGTCACCACAATCCCCCTCGAGCTGGCATCCCCGTCCCCCGGTTGCCTACGAAACAGATGTCACCATGACGAACGAACCGATTGCGGCGCAGTCTCCGCGATCAGCCACCATGTCACCGCAGCCTCTGTCGGAGAGACCCCTTCCGGAACCAGAGTTCGAAGTCGAAGGGATGGTGCCCGTGCCAGATCAGCCAGATGAATCACAGAAGCAACCTGACCAGGATGAGGAGATGGCTAGGCCTGAGAATGATGCCAGTGGTGGTGGCAATACTGGCGAAGGAGCGGTCGCAAGACCACCAAACACAACAATGGGGGAATCATCGAGTAGGAGGAGGTCAAGATGTGAAAAACAATCTCCGGTTGTCGGGGAGCTTTACGAGGTGGATATCTGGGGGCCAGTAGGGAACGGCCCTCGATGGGTTGAGGACAGAGGGTTAGTGGGACTGGGGCACGAGTTCTCTCTCATGAGGTCCATACCAACCACACCTTCGTCCTTCTTGCGGCCGGGAAGCAAGTTTGAGGGGTCTCAGGAATCGGAGCGACAACGGTACGATGTAGAGGTGGAAATCAAATACGTCGACATGCGCGAGTCGTTTTTGTGTGGTTATCTGAAGATTCAGGGTATGACAAGCTTTCCTTTCAAGAGACCACGGAGTGGGCCGCTAATACGGGTTCTACAGGTTTGACCGATGACCACCCAACACTTACGACCTATTTTGAAGGCGAGATTATCGGCCCCAAGTACGGCTTCATCACACAACACCCAACCTGGGGCGCAACAGACAAGATTGATCTCTCCCACTGGGGAAAGTTTGCGCCTTTCCGTCCCTATGCTAAGCAAGCGCGTAAGGGCGGTCAGATCCTGGTCAAGGACATGGCCCAGCGGGAGAACATCTTCATGCGGTGGAAAGAGCACTTTCTTGTGCCCGACCACCGGGTGAGGACGATCAACGGGGCCAGTTTTGAGGGGTTCTATTACATTTGCTTTAATCAGGTGAAGGGGGAGGTCAGCGGGATCTACTTTCACAGCAAAAGTGAAAAGTGAGTTGCTCTAGACCAGACTGATACTTGTGATTCTGTCATATGCTGACACACACTATTCAGGTTTCAACGGCTAGAGCTGAGACATGTACCCAACAAGGGGTGTTATGGCGCCGTGGAGTTCAGATGACGAAGTCATGATTTGGGAAGCAGGGGACACACAACTGCAAAATACCTATGGGCGGCGTCACTTTTTGCGACACACACAAAACTGATACCAACATCAAAGGGATGATTGATTTTTTCACGAATTCAAGCAGGGAGGTTTCACGAGTGGGCGAGGTGAGGGGGCACAGCGTTGCCTGTTTGCATTGGTCGGATGAGTTTGGCTTTGTATCCTCTATTTGGTTGTCTTTTACTTTGCATCTTTTTTGATGGGGGCAAGGAGGCAGGAGGGAGGGGTGGGAACGAATATTACACCTACTACTAGCACATCTATATTGACAGAAGACGACACACACACATGAAGGGCAGAACGACAGACACTTTGCAAGCGAGAGCATGGCCACTCCCAAGAGGGTGATGATGATAGGCGGGGGGACAGGCCGAGGACACACAAGCACATATATAGCCAGGAATCTTTGCGCTCTATTATTTCTTCCCTCTTGAGCAGTTTTTCATTGTACATGCTTTATTTTTTATTATTTTTTATTATTTTTTACAAAATGGGTATCTTTGATAAAGTCTTGTTTTTGACCTGAGAAGAAAACAAGAGACGAGAGATCACTCATTTTATCTATTTCATAACTTGTGTCATTTAATTTGGGGGTGGTGTCTCTGTTGCTGGTGCAGCAGGTGTTGATGTTCCAGTTGTTGCGGGGGGTGTTTGGAACCCTTCAAAGTAGGCTTTTCGGAAGGGGTTGAGCTCGTCGGCTGTTTTGCCGACTAGTTTGCGCTCCTCGCGGGCTTTGACGGCTGCTGAGTCGACGTCTTTGTCGGGGATGCGGCGGTAGCAGATTAGACGGCGGGACCCTGGGGGGGGGTTAGCATTGGTAGGTTAATGAGGGGGAAAGACATACATTTGTTGAACACTTGGGTAGAAACTGAGAGTGTTTCCAGGTAAGGATGACTCGGCACAGGCATCTCCTGTTCTTCGTCGTTCGCAGTCGGCATCCAGAATGCCACTCTGCCATTGTCGACAAGCGTCTGAGCCGCAAATTGGAGGATGTCATCCAGCATCGCCAAAAACCCATATGGTTTCCTCGGCGGGATGAAATCCGCTTGTCTGTTCGTTCCCTCGTCAGCCTTTTCCCCTTTTTTACCAC